TATTGCATGTTCTTACAAACTAATATCTTTTTAAAGTATGATGGGCCACAAGCCTCAGAACAGAAAGCAGAATCCTCGTGATCCGTCTGCAATGTGTTACGTGTCATCTGAATCGAAAAAAAAATAAAAATATCCTCTAAGATCGGTATTACTGTCTTCATCGATGGGCCACAAGCCTCAGAACAGAAAGCAGAATTCTCGTGATCCGTCTGCAATGTGTTATGTGTCATCTGAATCTAAAAAAAAAAATTAAAAATCCTCTAAGATCGGTATTACTGTCTTCACTTCAAGCTCCTGGATCAGAGTCAGTTGTTGGACAGCAGAGACGGGACTTGGACTTGGGCCACATGACTTCCAGTCTTGCCCCACGTTCATAACTAAGTATTCTAATGGTCATTCATCTCTGCACATCTGTTTTGATTTTGCCTCATTTATATTGTTGATTCATGAGCACCGGACTCACGGCCAGCGGCACGATGACTCAGCCCTGATCGAAGCTTATCTCACACACATTGTCTCCATCAGGCACACCACAGGCTTCCTGCACGTAGGAACACTGCGCCGCGCACCTCAACACCGCACTTGTGGGCATTGTACACAGCAAAGTCACCAACACAAAAATGCAAGAAGCACGGCACTACATAGACTGGGAAGAGGCCACTTGTTGACAGTATGGGAGCCGACACAAGACGCACGTCTCCTTTCCGGCATCATCTGGGAACTGTGTGTTGGGCAATTCAAATTCCCCGCGCTCTGCACAGTCCTCAGATGGCTGTCACAGCACTGAGAGTACTGATGTCAGGGTTACAAATAAACCCTAGCAGGTAGGCAATTTCATAAATTCAGCATCTAATACATGAGGATGGGCTGTATTGATAAACCTCTAGACGACACAAATTACCAATATCAGACAAGATAAAGGGCACCGCCACACAGCATACAGGCAGTAAGAGGATAACACACTATCAACTCCTTTATGCCTATAAATCCCATGATGAATGAAATGGACTCATTCCTTTTAAGGCACAAGTTACCAAAGCTCACTCGAAGAAATAGATCATTTAAATGGTTCTGTATCTATTCATAAAGCTAAATTTATTATTTAAAACCTCCCATCCCCCAAAAAAACAAAATGGAAAAGAAAAACACCTCCATACCTAGATGGCTTCATTGATGATTTAGCAAATGTTCACAGAAGAAATAATACTAATTCTTTACAAACTCTTCCAGAAAACAGAAGAGAGAGCCCTCTTCAACTTCCTTTCTAAGGTTAGCACTGCCCCGATTTCTAAATCTAAAAAAGACACTGCAAGAATAGAGAACTACATAGAGAGCAGCATCCCCAAAAGCATAATTGAGGGAGATCAAAGAAGATATGAATAAATAGATACACCACACAGGTGGGTCAGCAAGTTCAATATTATGAAGAGGTCAGTTTTTCCCAAGTGTATGTATCTATTCAAGGCATTACCAATGAAAAACCAGCAGGCCTTTTGTTTGTTTGTTTGTTTTGCAGTAATTTACAAGCTGATTCTAAAATTTGTATGAAAATGCAAAGGACCTAAAATGGATAAAAACAACTTTGAAAAGAAGAAAATGAGAATTTACACTACCTGATTTCAAGACTTACATAAAGCTGCAGTAACTTAGTGTGTATTAGTGTAAAAATACATAGATCAATGGAATGGAATAGAGAGCCACATCTATCTGGCCAATTGCGAGAGAATTATCTTTTCAAGAAATGGTACTGGAGCAATTGGATATTCATATGCCAAATAAGAGAGAGAGAATTACAACCCTGACTGCATACCACATGCCATAATAATCAAAATGAATGTAGGAGCTAAAACTAAATGTAAAAGCTAAAACCGTGAAACTTCTAGAAGAAAACAGAAACTTTTAATGATCTTAGAATACATAAGGAGTTTTTAAATAGGACATTAAACCAAAAAGAAATGATAATGTGGGCCAAGCACTCTCTTTGTTGCCATTTCTCTTGCCTGTGCTGCCTGGGTACCAGCTAGGACCCGCTGGGCAGCGACTCCCCCTCTAACCTGCTCAGAGCTCTTGATAGGGGGCAGCTTTGGCACTGCCCTAACTGTTCCGCACACTGTCCCTTCCACGTGCCTGCTGCTAAGGCCGGCTCTAAGGCCCGTAGACTCGAAGATGCCACTGAGTTCAGATTTTGCCCCTGCCCACTCTCAGGCTCTCTCTAGCCTCAGCCTTCACCTCTGTCCCAGGAGATGTGAGTGTTGGTCCCCGGATGGGCTTCCCTCTGTGGGCAGTGAGTGCTCCCTGTGCTCAGCTGTCTCCTCCGCACGCAGCCTTGACGTTTTGGTTAAGATGGAAGCAGCCTTCTGGAGATGCTGGAGGCGACAGGGATTTCTTCCAGCTGGTTCATGTGGCCACGTCAGTGGGGATTTGTTGGCAAACGGGAAAGAGAATAGAATATAAAGGATCAGATGCCCGCCTAGCACCAGAGTCCCTTTTGACTCCGAATGAGCCAGCTTTCTAACACTCTAACACGGGAAGCACTCAAATCAGTAAGTATTTGCCTGGTCACAGTGTGAGGGAGTAAACGGTGGTGCCCAGCCTGACTGTTTCCCTATAATCAACAAGCGAATACTAAATGCGCTCGTTTATCGAAAGATGTTTAAACCAGCGTCCTTTAATTAGAATTTACTGGGCTCTTTCCCCAGGAAGAAGTTACTCTGGGAGTCACACTCAGGCTATGCCCTCCTGCTAATGCCCTTCTCACACAGGGGCGGGACTTCCCAGGGCCAGGTGTGTACTGACCACTGCCCGCAAGGCCAAGAAGGGGACCGGACAGAACCGGTTTGGCTCAGTGGCTAGAGCTTCGGCCTGCGGACTCAAGGGTCCCGGATTCGATTCTGGTCAAGGACATGTACCTTGGTTGCAGGCACATCCCCAGTGGGGGGCGTGCAGGAGGCAGCTGGTCGATGTTTCTGACTCTCTATCCCTCTCCCTTCCTCTCTGTAAAAAATCAATAAAATATTTTTTTTAAAAAAAAAAAAGAAGAAGGGGACGGGACAGAAGGCCCTGAGGGATGGGTAGGACTTGAACCGGCAGAGACGAGCCAGCACTCGAACTCCAACCCGGAGTCGCACCAGAGGGTCTGTCCCGGGGAGAGGACGGGCGCGCCCGGTTCACTGGACACGCGAGGCGGCACACGCGGGGCGGCGGCGGGGAGAACTCCAATTCCGCGCCGGATTCTCCTCCAGCGCCACCACGGTGAGCACTAGGGTCCGCTGAACAGCTACTGAGAACCTGCTGGGAGGCGCGTGATTCCGAGTCCCGGGAGGGTGCAGCTCGGGGCTGAGACCCCAAGGGCCCCGGGCCCGGTGCGCACCTGGAGAGCCTGGGGCTGGCCCTGGAGTCCCTAGGCGGGGCC